GGACTTAGGTTCCACTGAAGTGAACCTGATGAATGCAGGGGTGGGCTACCTCCCCACAAGCTGTTGTCTGGAGATCCTTGAAGCCCCTGAAACAACATGAGCAAGTGACCCTGAGGTTGGTTGCCCCCTAGATAGCGAGACCTAATTACCACATGCTTTTATCACAGAATACAGCAAGGTCAGTCGGGAACTAGGCCCGAAGCATCCGTTCTGCTGTCCAGACCTCTTAATGCCGGAAGGTGCCAGCCACCAGGGAGAACCGTCAGTAGTCTTACTTAGCTGTAGTCCCTGATGCTACACTAGTGACCATCCAGAGAAGATGTGCCACTGTTGCAATAATGACCAGACTGTCATGGGGGTAACTGACCATTTTCTGATTGGATCTGAGACCCGCACCATAGAGCCAGAGAAAGGGGTGAAGTGTTGTGGGTCCCTGTTTACCACCCATGATGTAGGGCTGCTCCACTCCTGAGCTAACAGCAGCTTCGACAAGACGCACAGACAGCACCCAGTCACGGAGGGAGGGGGCTCACAAGGCGCCTCTTCTCTGAGATCTATAGGGAGTTAACGATTGGTGAGAGAATGAATGACATTTTCTCAATGGTGTAGCTACCTGGTTAAGTGCCCAGGCTCCTGTAAGCAACCCTGAAGAAAGTCATCGTTCTCTCTGTCTCTCTCTGTCTCTCTCTGTCTGTCTCTGTCTCTCTCTCTCTCCCTGCCTCTCTCTCTCTCTCTCTCTCTCTCTCTCTCTCTCTCTCCTTCCTCTCTCTCTCTCTCTCTCTCTCTCACACACACACACACACACACACACACACACAGAAAGGTTAGGAAGAGTAAAGAGTCAGCAGAAAGGGGATGAAAGCTAATTTAGGGTTGATATCATTAAAAATACATTATATACATGTATGAAAATTTCATAATGAAACCTGCTAATACATATGATTAATACATGCTAATAAAAACATAAAAAGTAAAAAAACCAATAAAGTAAGCTAATGAAGAAACTGTTGTGAGTTATATGGCTCCTCAGGGCATATGAAGTATTCATCAAGGGTCCTCAAATGAAAGTCAGGTGACAAACGGGGGAAGGGACCTGTATCACTGGGCTACAACTATCTAGCTCATCCCTTTGTTGTTGTTTTTGAATAAATGTAAGAGGGTTAGAAGGTTAGTGAACTCTTCTGAGAGCAGCCACAGACTCGGTCTCCTGACCCTCACTCCACCACCACCACCACCATCTGAACAATTCACTATCTGCTGAAGCTCCTCATTGCCACGGGACATTTCGAGGACCTCCCATGAATGGTGATACTGTGGCTAGGGACACATGTTTTCCCAGGACTGAGGGGCTAGGCTCCATTCCAGGTTTAGTTCTCTGCTGTCAGCCCTCAGAAGTCACGTTCTTCGGCCTCGGCCTCCCTGTGCCTGCTGTCCCCTTTGTTCATGGAAACTGTTTTGGTCCTAGTCACCAGCTGCAAAGAAGACTTTGCACATCTGTGACTTTCTCCTCCTTAAACCATCTCTTCTGTTGGTTTCCACTGCTGCCCCACCTTTCTGGCTTTTCTTGCAAGCTCAACAGTGCCTTATCTTTGGTCCCAGAGGCCCTGTGCAGGACTGGTTCTTGCCTCACTGAGGGTCCCCTCTGAGGGCATCCTCTGCCTGGACAGCAAGCTCAGATCAGAGTCCTAAGAGTTGGCACACTCACAACTGAGAGCTATCTCCATGGATTTGCAGGAGGGACCTATGAATGAAGCTGATATTCCCCAACACTGTGGTTACCTCATTGCACTGTGCGAGCCTAACAGTTAGTTAACCCCATTGGTTCCAGAGCCAGACACCTCGTCTGCCTAATCCACATCTCCCTTTCTTAACTGTGTAATCTTAAACCAATTACGTTTTTTTAATCTTTCAAACTCCTAATTGGTAACATAGTAGCAATAATAACTAGTATTATTTGAAAGACAAACATGATTACATAATAAGCTTAGAGAAGACCCTGCCTCGTGCAGGGCACTCAATAAATATTAGCTCTTCGACCACCCTTCTTTCATACTTCCAGCCTTGCAGCTCCCTAATTAATCCCAGCAACCAGATTCCAGCCCAGACCGCCATAAACACCACCATATCTTGATGTTATCTTTCACCAAAGTTCAAGGTTTCCCTCTTTTCTGCCCGGCTGTCTAACTCCATACTCTAGCTTTTTTTTGTTTGTTTCTGTGTTAAAACACACACAGACATATACATACCAGTAACATTATATGGACTAAGTTATATTTATTTAGGAATTCTCTCTCTCTCTCTCTCTCTCTCTCTCTCACACACACACACACACACACACACACACACACACACACATTTGTCTCTCTCAGATGTTACAACTATTAATGAAAAGGAGGCCATGAATTAGAAAGAGAGCAAGAAGGAGTATACGGAAGGTTTGAAAAGAGGAAACAGAAGGGGAAAGTAGTATAATTTCAAACAACAACTTTAAACCAACTCCAAAGGGTTTGCTTGACTTCCAGGCCACACTCCTCTGTGACCCAGCAAAGCCAGGGCAGGATGTTAAGGCAAAAACACAGAGGCAGGAACCAAACCGACAAACACCACAGAGGAACAGTGGTCACTGATTTCCCTGCTCAGCCAGCTTCCTGAGACAACCCAGGACTACCTGTCCAGGAGTGGCAACTCCCTCAGTGGGGTGGGCTCCTCTCCATCAATTCACAATCAAGGAAATACCCCACAGACATGCCCTACAGCCAATCTGATGGAGGAATTACCTCAATTGAGTTTCCTTCTTCCCAGATGTGTCAAGTTGACAAGGACAGCCATACATCCAGTTACTGTCACCTAAGAGCAACCAAATATTGCATGTGTCATAACTTCCAGTGGCCAAATCTCTAATTTCAAAAGCCCAGGTGTCAGTCATGAGCTCCAAGTGCTCGGTCCTGATTTCCCGAATACCTACAACATATCCAAGTTAAATGATGATTGTTTTGGAGACACAGTTGCACTGTAGCCCTAGTTCAGATGGAACTGGCTATGTAGGCTTGAAATCCCAGGGATTCTCCTGCTTCTACCTCCACAGTGGTGAGATTACAGGTGGGGACACCATGTAAGTGATAGGCTTGAGTGCACCTGTTGTTCATTGACTAATCCTTGTGACGACCCCTGTGCCTCAGCTGGGCTCAGCTACATGCAACTACTATTTTCACGGGTCAGATAGTACTGATTTTTACGATTTAATCCAAACTACCTGTATCCTGGGATTTTCCTCCTTCTATCAAAGCAGAAACAAAGGCAAGAGTTGAAGAAAGGAAGGTTTGTGGAGATAAGCAACTTGGACACTTTCCATAGCTGACAGATGTTGCAAACAAAACTGGTTCCACCTAGCCCTGGGAGAAAGTCTTGGGGAGCACTCAGTAAGACTATGACATACACCCATAGTTTAGGAAACTCTCACAGTGAATACAAGACTGAGTGTTTGCAGGTGCTGAGATAGATCCAGTTTCCTAAGACCAGGGAGCCAGCTACACAGTTCCCCGTTGACAGAAAAGGACAGAGTCTGGCAGAAACCAGTAAAGCAGCTTTTCTTCCCAATGTTTTAACTGGGGCTGGCGTTTGGCTCAATTAGTGCCACAAAGCCCTGGGTTCTCTGGCACCGAATAAACTGGTGGTGTGTGCCTGTAATCTCAGCACGTGGGAGGTAGAGGCAGGAAGATCAGATGTTCTTGAGAACATGGGAAGAGGGGGGAGGAAGCTACAAGAGTGAGAAGGGAAGAAAAGGAAGGATGCAGAGGTCATGGGGAAGCAGAAATTTGGAGTCAGGTGTAGATTAGAAGAAAGGACATATGATAGGTAGGATTTTAGTTGGGGGGGGTGGTAGAGGAGGAAGGGAGGGAGAAGGGAACTGGGATGGTCATGTAATTCAATCTTGTTTGTAATTCAAATATATAAAAAATAAAAAAAGAGAAAAAAAGATCAGAAGTTCAAGTTATTCTTGGCTGCATAGTGAGTATGATTGAAGTCATTTTGGCCTAAGTGAAGCCCTGTCTCAAAACAAATAACATCCTGATTGTCATTTTCTTCTGAACTTCCTGGCTTTAGGCTCAGGTTCTAACTTCATTATCTTCCTAAAACAGGGATGAGATATTTTCCATTCAACATGAATAGGAGATGTTTAATTTGTTAGCTCTTACGTGTTCAGAAAGGCAATCATTGGCTCAAAGTAGTGGGCTGAGCATTGTTGGTGGTGGCGTTGTCCCCTGCTGGCTTTCCATGTGGTGTGTTTTTAGGAAAGAACTCAGCACTGCAGTTTCAGAATGAGGTCTGAGGCTCTAAGCATGAGGCTTTATTTACATAGATGAGAACAGGGGACTGCAGTTTCCACCCTTCCCCAAACCTTAAAATAAGAAAAAACAGTGTGTTCTTCATCGAAAAAATACAGCATTGAATCTGCATGTCGTTGCTGGTATGATTCTTGACTGGTATTTTATTAAGGGTCCACACTCTTCCACAGCATCCGAGAGCCTTAAGTAATAACCGCTTAGCTTTTCAATGAGATGAATAAGACCGCCAAACCCAAGTCACAGGAATTTGCAAAAGATACTTTGCTTTGACTCAGGGCCAACTTAGGATTCAGAAAGACCTAGTTCTAAAAGTGTGTCTTCTTCCCAACTCTAATCTAACTAAGCCTAACAACAGTGACCAACTTGCTGGGTCACCTGTTCACACAGGGATCTAAGCCCCCAGCCAGAGGCAGACAGATCAACACCAGCTCTCTGCCTAGCCTAACAGCCTGTCTGCAGTTGAGCTGAAGGGGCAAGGGTTCATGCAGCTGCAATGGACCAGATGCAATCTGCCTTGAGGCAGAGGCAGTGGTGTGGGGTGGATAAAAGAAGGGAGGAGACACTGTGTCTGACGACAGGGATGTAACCTGGTGGTGCCGAGGCAGGGGATTCCTCTGCCTGACACCATCTTTCTCCTCCTCCTCTATCTTGCAGCCCCTGAAAATGCATTGCAAGGATTGCGCCCTGGTGACTAGCTCGGGGCATCTGCTGGGTAGTCAGCAGGGCCCCCAGATCGATCAGACAGAGTGTGTGATCCGCATGAATGACGCCCCCACGCGAGGCTACGGGCCTGACGTGGGAAACCGCACGAGCCTGCGGGTCATCGCACATTCCAGCATCCAGCGGATCCTGCGCAACCGCCATGACCTGCTCAATGTGAGCCAGGGCACCGTGTTCATCTTCTGGGGCCCCAGCAGCTACATGCGGCGGGACGGCAAGGGCCAGGTATACAACAACCTGCAGCTCCTCAGTCAGGTGCTGCCCCGGCTGAAGGCCTTCATGACCACACGACACAAGATGCTGCAGTTCGATGAGCTCTTCAAGCAGGAGACTGGCAAAGACAGGTACGGGGCGCAGGACGGGAGCCAAGCAGGGCCCGTGAGAATGTGTGCTGGCGACAGACGCGGGAAAAGCAAAGCTTTGGATGAGGGTCTGTGTTGTGGGCCCCACAGTGTTGTGGGCCCCACAGTTCATGCTGTCAGCCTCGATGGGCCTCACATGTTGGGTTGCCCTGGTAACAGACTCAAGCTGAGTGCATCAGGCAGTGACGTGATGCACAGTGACCATTTCTGAGTAATTCATGAAAACAAAAAGGCTAAATGATGACTGGCCTGCACTAGGAAAAGGGGGACACAGCAGCTTCACTGACGGAAGAGAGAAGTGTGGGGGGATAGCTCCGTTTACAAACTGCTTGCTGCTCTAGAATGAGGACCTGAATTGGAGCCCCAGTTCCCACGCAAAAATGTGGGGTTGGGGTATGGTGGAGCATTCTCATGGTGCCGGGAGACAGGAGAATGGCCGGGGCTTGCAACCCCAGCCTACTTGGTGAACTCCAAACCAAGGAGCAACAATGTCTCACCGGACAAAGTTGACAGCACCTGAAGAACAAAAGGGTGCCCTCTGGAATTCACAGACACTCACATTCACACACACACACATACACACACACACACATACACCACCACATACACACACACACACATACACCATTACATACACACACACACACACACACACACACACCACATACACACACACATACACACACACACATACAACAACACATACAC